GGCTAATTCTTTGTCAACTTGATGAAATTTGGTGCCAGGTGACTTAAAACTTCACGAATAGCAAATTGCTAATAGTTCAAGTTGGTTCACAATCCTTGCTTCTTTAATCCGATTCAGGCTCCCATAGAGACTTGATTGGTTGGAGGGGCATTTTACATACATACATACCACCCAATTCCTATGCATATCATATCAAACACCAAAACTTTACTTCTTTACATTTATACCACCCAAATCTTTTATATCACGTAAAAGAAAACCCCCCATTATATTAACTTTCGCGAGGTGAAGTACACCTTTTTATGCCTATATATATAAGTTAATTTGCAGTTCCTTGTAAGTTGACATGTATGTAAAAATTGAAGTTTAGCTGTTAGATATGTAAATACATAGGAATTAAGTGGTATGCATGTAAAACTTCCTCAACTTTTTTGCCCTTTATTGAACTGCTTGTCTGGGGTACTGGGAGCCAAAGTTTTTCCAAGTGTTTTTTTCTACATGTGCACCCAACTCATTGACATTTTTGATATCTTCGAGTTTTAGATGTGCTTTTTTATTTTATTTTACATTTATATATATATTTTTACGATCATGTACAGCAATTGCCAGGTTGCCAGTTATAATTTTGACCACATCTAAGTTAATTTGCAGTGTTGCGTTATATTTTAATTCTAATGTCTCTGTGAGCATTTGCATTATCAAGTTATCTTTGAAAGCTCCCTCGGATGTCTATATCTCTTCCTTTGGATCCTTGATACTTGGAAAGCAATTTTCATCTGAATAAATTGTCTTCTTCTTAATTTGTGGTTCTTGTAATTTATAGCTTAGCCGTTTTACTACTGTAATTTATACTTGAATTCTTTTTTTTTTATTGTATTTTAAAAATCTTATTCAAACTATTGTCTCTTTAGCTTGTTCATGGTACGTTTTATTATACTGAAGCCTAGAAATTCAAAGCATTGAATCAATAATCTTTTGTTCTTGTGTGGTACAATCATGAATTTTTAAAAAGTTTCCTATAAAAACATTATATTTCTGATTGAGAAATTATTCTTAGAATTTATGGACAATGTTTGCAGTTTGCCAGAAAATTTTCATTCTCCTTTTTATTATGCAATTTTCTGATGTTTTCATTTATTCACATTAATTTTTTAGGAAGATTTACATGCATACCACTCAATTCCTATTTTTTTACTTATTCAATACCTAAGCTTCAATTTTTACAATGCCACCTTACCTTTGCATGAAAAGGTGTATTTCACTTTTAGAAGGGAAAAATTGTGGCATTTTTTATGTGATATGAAAGGAGTGGGTGGTATAAATGTGAATAGCAAAATTTAGGCGTTAGATATGTAAATACATAGGAATTGGATGGTATGTATGTAACTATGTAAGTGCCCCAATTTTTAAAGTATATCATTAAGATCTTGATAACCACAATCAGATTTAAATATCATTCCTAACAATTGTTACTGTTTCTTTGTTTCAGCAAAGGATCTATGGGAAAGTTATGCCTTGTCGAGTCAATTATTTGGGGGGTGGATTCTATTATGCTTGGTTTTTAAACTGGAAGACGCAAAAAGGTGTGCCCAAACATATCTTTCCAATTTTGCGTTGTAAGGAGACTTTTATAACAGGGCAATGTAAGAACCAAGTTTGGTAAGTTAAATTTCTTGACATAATTGCATTTATCAGGGTCTACATTGCATAAATTTCTTTGCATGATTTCTGACCAAACCTCTACAAAGTTTGTGATTGAATAAGTTAACTACTATCTCATATTTTGAATCATGCCTAGAAGTTCATAGAAGCTTCTATTTATAATTTACAATCTTGGATACTTGGGAAATTGCTAAAACTTAATACAGAGTGAAAAAATAATAGAAAACTTTAAATGAAGGTTATTGCGTAAAAAACATGAACATCTGTGTCAGTTATACCCAATGGATGGCTACCTCATACTTTCACCGCTGGAGATTTCGCTGTGGAGAATTATATCTTTAATCTTTATGTACAAAATATTGGTGAAGCCCTCTTCTTTATAAAAGGAAACAAACCTACAAATTGGATGCCTTTTTTGGGGCATTTACGTACATACTACCCAATTCCTATATATTTACATATCTAACACCTAAACTTTTCTTTTTACATTTATACCACAAAAATCTTATCACATTAAAAATACCATCATTTTAACTTTTAAAAATTAAAACACACCTTTTCATGCATGGGTAAAGTGGCATGTATGTAAAAATTGAAGTTTAGGTGTTAGATATGTAAATACATAGGAATTAAGTGGTATGTATCCAAATCCTCCTTTTTTTAGTCGGACAAAGATCAAGCTCCACAATTTAGCTTGAGCTTTATATGATGGGTTGCATGTTTCAGATGGCTAATTGAGATGAATGGGTGAATTGATGGTTCAAGGAATTGATGAATGCTACTGATACATGAATTTAAAAAAGGAATCTTTGAAATCTAGTTATTTGTTTGTGGGAAAAAAAAAAGCTTTATTTTGTAAAACAGAAGCTGTGATGCCGATTTCTCTACTGTTACCTTATAACTGACGAAACGTTTTTATAATGGCTTCAACTAACAGCAGCCATACTTATTCCTGTGGTTCTAAGAAATTCCCTTTCTGAAAACCTTAAGAGCTATCTTTGTAGCAGTTTGGTTTTGTATCAGGTTGGGAAATTTGCTATTTATGAAGTTATGTACTAAGATTATTGATGGGGTCCAAGTTGTAAAAATAATGCAATGTTTTCATGAGGGTAGTATCTAAAGAAAAAAAATGTTCCAATTATATTTTTTATTTATGTAATTTAGTTGGATATGTTGTAGATAGATCTTTAATGCTTGGTATATTTCGAAAGCTAGGAAAGTGCCAAAATAATTCCTGATTTTTAGCAGGGGACCATTTGATTCCCATGCTATATAAATTTGCCAATTTAGTCCTCACTTTTTTTTATATGGGTTTAAACACTAACCTTTTTCTTTAAACCGAGGATTTTTTTTTGTCCGCTAAGAAAATTTGAAAATTAATTTGACACTACTAAAAACTTTGGGATTAAAATGACACTACGGACAACTTTGACGCTACTTTTTAGGAATAGAATAAAATCAAATTGATTTCAAATATACTTTATGTCATGAATAATAAGGACGCGGCTTTAGACGTGTTATAATACATTTTCCTTGCTAGTTTAAATTTATTTGAATTTGAGCTGAATCGGATGTAAGTAAATTTTTTTTAAAATTGAAGCTGATCCGTATGAATCATATTTTTATATTATTGAGTGAAAGTAAATAATTGAATAAAAATCAATTCAATGGTGCAGTTTGATTTTATTTCATTTTCTGATTAATTTAGCTGAAACTTTTAATTACGTGTATCTCTTCAAAATTTATAGTTATTATACTTGAACTATATTACATTATCTGTATTGTTCTTAATTATTATTACTCATTTTATAGGATTACACAACACAATATATCTGAACAAATATCATTTAAATTGGCAATGTAATATTATCTTGAAAGATTAATAATAAACTTAATATTTTTAATCATTTATGTGAGCCGCTAGTGGTTTTAACATAAACTGATTTGATTAATATTTGGCTTACATTAAATTAAAACATAAATTATTTACAAAACTTTTATAAAATTATCAGTAAAACAAATAACTATAATTTCTATCAGTATAATCATTATGCCTGCTTCAACTCAGAGAGAGAAAAAAAAACATCACTTTTGAGCTTCCATTCCCTATTTCTGCATTTCTTGGTAGAGTCTTCTGTGCCCAAATTTTCATACTAACTCACCAAGCTCGCGTTGAGCTTTTCAATCCTATCAAACCATAAAAGGTTCCAAAATATCCACGTTAGATCTGGATTTGCGCTTTTTAAGTTCTTCCAAGCAAAAGCCCGGAAACTGGAAAAAGCTTGCGGGAAGCAGCTCAACGGTCTTCAGAAAAACGCGCTTTGGGGAAAAAATTTCCATCAAGTTGCCGCCGTCAGATCAGATCAACAGTTCCTTAGTGAATTTCTTGCTTTATGATCACCAACTTCGAGATTTTCCACTTGATTTCAGTGCGGCCACTGAGTATAAAATTAGCAGCTTAGCAATGGCGGAATTAAAGGCCGTTTTTCTTCTCTATTGGATTTCCTGTACCCAAACCAGGGAAAAAGGTAATTTTTCTAATCTTTTATTGATTAATAATCTGAAATATTCTTGTTTTATATTTGCTTCACTTATTGCATGTTATGTTGCTGACTTGCTGTTGAAGGTTATTATTCTTATTTTTATTTGAGAAATTTATATGCATATCAGATAATTCATGTGCATTCATATATCCAACGCCTAAAGTTTGATATTTATATTTATAATATTTTGTTATTTGATATCTGTAAATAAAAATGTGTATTTTATGTTTGATGGCAGTATTTTTTATGTGCTGGAAAAAAATTGGATGTTGTATATGTAATTATGAGAGTTTTGGTGCTACATATGTAAATATATAAAAATCCCATACATAAAAATCCCCTATTATTTTTGTAAACATCCCCCTTTTTTTGGGACATTTACAAAGATACCACCCAGGTTAGTGTATTTACATATCTTAACACCTAAATTTTATTTTTTATATTTTTACTACCCAAATCTTTCATATCACATCGAAAATACCATTATTTTGAATTTTAAGAAGTGAAATACACATTTTCATACACAGGTAAGGTAGCATATATTTAAAAATTATAGTTTAGGTGTTAAATATGTAAATGAATAAAAATTGTGTATGTAAACCTTTTTTATTTTTCTTTTCTAAATTGGCCCTTATGGCGTTCATGCATACAATGAGGTTTTGTTGCTGATAGGCTTTGTTGCTTTTTTCCTTTTTTAGACCACTTTTGACACTAATTTTTCTGTTTGTTCTTTCTCAATCATCATGCAGCTATTTTTAGGTGGGCATCGGATTGAATTTTGTGGATTTAAATCATTCTATTTTGATAAATTCCATTTCAGTTTTATTATTATTGATCAAATTTAAATTTTTTAAATCTCATCAATCATAAGATTTAATAGATTTAAGGATTTCTCCTGTTAAACAAATAGCCGAACTTTTTTAAAATTTATACGTTTTTTAAATTTATAAAAATTTAACGGCTTTCAAGGCACAGTTTTCATGTTCCGAACTTCCGATCCTCTCAATAATTACTAAATCTGGATTTACTTGACTTTACTGAATTCTTGCTAAATTTAATCTGACTTGTAGCAAAAGATCCCCTCGAAATTACAGATGCAACGTGGCATTCCTTCATTTTACCCAGTTTCAGTGAATGATAGTATATTGCGATTTATACTCTCTGAAATCCCCTTGTCTGATGTCATTTTCTTTCTTGGGGCATTTACATACATACCACACAATTCCTATTTATTTACATTTCTAACACTTAAACTTTGATTTTTATATTTCTACCACCTAAATCTTTTATATCATAAAAAAATGCCACTAGTTTAATTTAAAAAAAATGAAATACAACTTTTCATGCATAGGTAAAGGTGGCGTATATATAAAAATTGAAGTTTAGGTGTTAGATATATAAATACATAATATAATTGAGTGGTTTTTATGTAAATCTTCATTTCTTTATTACACTTAATACAGCTAAAAAAGTGTCCGCTGTGCGTTGTCTGAAATAGAGGAAGTATTAAATTGTTTAGCTTGAAATTAGTTATTTTTTGAATGTTTTCATGACCTTTTAAGTTTCATTTTGTAGAATATAAAACACATTTCTGGTCCATAAAGGAATTATGGCCGTTTTGGAGCAGTCTTTACCACATGGGGATGATAATGAAGCATATATGGTGAAGAAGACACGATCATTGAGAGCTCGATACGTATATGGTTTCATATTCATTTCAACAAATTTATTAGCTTGGTTTGTCCGTGATTATGGCTGCAGAGTTCTCATGAGGCTTCAACGTTAGTTGGTCTAAACTTTAAATTTTGGGGCATTTACATACATACCACACAATTCTTATGTATTTACATATCTAACGCCTAAACTTTACATTTTACAATTATACCACCTAAATATTTCAGTCACATAAAAAATACCACTATTTTAACTAAAAAAAAATGTAAAATGCACCTTTTCTTTCATAGGTAGCGTGGCACATTTGTAAAAATTCAGGTTTAGATATTAGATATTTAAGTACATAGGAATCAAGTGTTATGTATGTATATCTTCCTAAAAAAATAAGACCTATGAAGGAAAAATTGGAAATTATAGAGCTAAGGGACTAAAGAAAACATAAATTTGTCCAACTCTATTGTATGAATTTGAGATTTTTTGTATAAATGAAGTTATTGATTGATAAACAAACGAACACTAAAAGAGAGAAAATTAAGATGGTATATGACAATAATATGATTTATAAATTGAGAAATAAATAGATTAGTTGTATGAGTGGGAGTAGCATCTATTAAATTTAAAGCAATATAAAAACTTTGGTGGCTTAGGCATGTATGCCAAAGGGTGGAAGTCTCCTCTAATATCAGTAGATAAAACTAATGTCAAATGTGTGGGAAGAAAAGGAACCGACCGCTGCTATTAGTGTGTGTGTGTGTGTGTGTGCGTGGATTGTCGAATTATAGGCACATGGCGCGGGCTTTCATCATAGGGTCGGATTGCGCATGAGAAATCGATATTTGGGCCTCT